ATCATCTAGGTAGGGCATACACATATTATCACGCAATCCCTCCGAAAATCGTCCATAAAACGGTGGAACGTTACAGGCGCACCTGACAAGCCAAATGGAATACGATTCCCCAGGGTGTGACGAAAGCTGTATATGGTCTGGATTCTTCACTCATGAACCCCTGATGATATGCTTTTCCTTGATCCAAAAGACTGAATACTGAGTCCATCCAAAGCGTCTTGAATTTTAGGGATAGGTGATCGATTGTCTAATGACTTTGCGTTCAGAGCCCTAAAATCACAACATATTCTCAAACTAGAGTCTTTTTTTCGTACGCATACCATTGGTGATGAATAGGGTAAGTCAGACTTGAAATCCATCCCTGATTTATTAAATTATTAAAGTAAGTAATCTTTAACTTCACCATACAGAGGTTTAGTGAACGAAATATAACTTATCTGTACAGGTGTATCATCCTTCAACTTAAAATCCATCTTCAAATCTTTCGCACAACCAAATTCATCATCGTGAGATTTTGAAAACACGGATGACTCCTGTCGAAGTAGCTGTCGAACTTTAATTTTCTGTTCCGGTGTCAGATCACTCTCTTCTAGATCTAAAGGCGGATCCCACAATTCAGTTTTATTATCTAAACAATCAGCTTCTGAAAGATTTGACACCGATGGTTGATTTTCACAGTGTTTATTTGTATCCACAGCCTCACTTGGGCACGGTAAAGCAATCACAGGCTGAAAAATCTCTAAATCACCAACTCTAGTGCGTCTAGGTAACACAATGTCTTTCTCCGAAATGTTCTCGACTAAAATTCTAAAATTTTGACTGGATTCAGATTTAACATTCACTATAGCTTCTCTAAATAAAAGTCCATATGGAATACTTTCATCTGAATACGGAACAAAAATCATCTTGCCATTTCTGTTCGGTCGAGCTTTACAATTTAAGACAAACCTGGAATTTTTCTTGATAAGAACGTTTTTGTTACTAGATTTGACAGGTACAATATCTTCATCGATGATCAATTTGCTGAGTTTCAATACGTTGTCACCAAAGATACCCATAGCTCTTAGACAATCACTTCGTTCATCCTCAGATAACGTTCGAGGACATTGTAGCCTATTTTTGCTGGATCCATTTCCACATCAGTGACAATAACAGGTACCATCAGTTCATGATGTTCCTACCTTAGCTTAAACCGACATTCGATCCATCCTGAAAAGGCATAGGCTCACCACTGGCTGTTAGAACAGTAAAGTTATGATTAATTAGAGAGCTTAAAGGTAAAACTTTAATATTAAATTTCTACTAACAAAATCCTTATTAAAGATTGAAATTTGAGCACCAGAATCCCATAGAACACTACATTTAGAGCCATTGATAAAACACTTGACAATACATCTCTTGCCCACAAGCGAAACTGCTCTATTTCTAAATTTTGACAGACACTCTAATAAATTATCATTCGATACTTGCTCTATTTGTGTGATTCTATTTAAAGTTTCTGGTTTCAAATTATCAAAACAACTATTACAATATTTAGTAAAATTTTCATCTGGCAATACAACATGACAATTTAAACAAACAGGGGTCTTAACAACAGCCCGATCTGTAGTAGCAAAATCTAGTTTTTTTGTCCAGCCTTAGAGCGCTCTGGACAATTTTGCCGTCTGTGTACATCACGACCACATACACAACAATGACGACAGTTATACGCACCCCCCCCCCCCCCTCCCCGCCCTTTCCCTACAAACCTTGCAACCCCTACCAGTACCTGGTTTCTGGGTGAACTTTGTTACAAGTTCAGTAAGAGCTGAAACCTGAGCTCGTCAAGAATTTGTCCCTGTTTCGTAGTTTTGTTAATAGATTTCCTTTCTACCGTTCTCTCGTCGGATGGAGGCACAAGCAGCACATTAACTGCTGTCACAGCACCTTTGACTTTGCTTTTTGAACAGCGTTCGTCTTCCTCGATTATCGACAAGTTGATTAGAAATTCTTCTTCTGCCAAATTAAGGTCAATAATGTTATGTAAATCACGTCTTATATTGTCATTAACCATGCCGCTTACAATGGATTTCATGCAAATTTTATGTACTAGTTCTGGATTATACGCAACTTCAGTAGTGTCATTTAAATTTCTTTGTTTCAAATCTAACGACTTCAGCACAAAGGACATGGAACTTTCTTTTGGCTGTTGGGTTAAACCTGTTAATGTTTGGTACAGTTCTGTTGGAGATTTTTCTTTGTAAAAAGCTTTCAGAATGTTGCTTGTGGTTGGCTTACATAAATCTTGTTTACCCTCAAGGTAAGACTTTAAATGGTTTTTCGGTGGTATGGCCTTCAGAATACCATCAATTATCTCATTTTCTGTATAACCTTTCTCACTGGCACCTTAAATTTGCCTACAGATTTCACCTATTGTTCCTGCAATTTTAAACTATCTGAAGTTAATTTTTCCTCGGAATTCCTTTTGAATACCAGTATTTGGTTGATTATTACCACCATTGTTGTTGTCTGCTCCCACTTCAGCAACTACTTCAGCATTGTCTTCTCCAACTCCAGCCTCTACTTCCCCTTCACTGTCTGACATCGTGATCAATAAATGTTTTTTATCTTTTCAGATTTATCCCGGACAAGCCCCCAGAAAATGTTACCCACACCTTGCTAATTTAATGGTAACACTTTTAATTTCGTTTTGATGTATAGAATATTTGAAATGTTCTATACAGCACTCAGCTGTTCAATACAGCACCCAACTGTTCAATACAGCACTCGATTGTTCAATACAGCATTCGATTGTTCAATACAGCACTCGATTGTTCAATACAACACTCGACTCAAGGTGTGCACGATTGCAACTGACGACAGGAGACTAACTGACTGGAGCCTGGAGTCTGAAGAGAGACAAGTATAGTTTTTGTAAGTTTTAATGGCGACGAAAAGAGAGAGAGAGATTCCTACGCTTCATTACATACAGAGGTTTCATGTTAGCAAAATGTAAAGGACTACATACAACCTTATTATTGTTCATAACTTAATAGTTGCACACAACTATAAAAGTTGAGACTTTATCTCGACTAACAAGTTCTCAAAGATTTAGAATACATAATCCCTTAATTAAAACATCATGAACCAAGTATAACCAATTTAGGATACAACATGTTTCAAATGTCTATTAGGCCTAGAACACATGACCTTGCGCCCATGTTACTAGAAAGTTCCCGCCATTAAACGAGCGGTACTCGCTAATAAAATAGACATTCACGACTTTTATAGCATTTGAGAACATACATCAAGGTTATACTTAGATTCCTGGTGCTTTCGCACACATAAATGTGCCCAAAATTCTTATGAATTAAAATAGATTTATATGTAATATGTACCTGAAGAGAGACAAGTTTAGTTTTTGGAAGTTTTAATGGCGATGAAGGAGAGGAGAGAGGAACCTAATCACTCCAAATTCACCAGACCAATTTCATTGCTTATTAAAACTAGCTTTATCTCCCTTGATTTTATTTTGGGTAGTCTACTCATTTCGTTAACAAAGCACCACAATTACAAATTTTAAATCATCAATATCTAAATTAGATGATAAGATAGCAAAGCAAAAAATAAACTAATAGATAATATTATTCCAGGTATGAATGGAGATGAAATAGCCGCATTAGAAACCAAACTCAATGGTATTAGTGAAATAGTCGCTATTCAACAACAATTAGACAATCTAGTAGATAAAACTCAGTTACAAAGTTCATTAATATCTAATTTAGATAAGGTTACAAAAGAAAAAATAGAAACAGTTAATAGATACCAGGTATAAGTGAAGAGCAATTAACTGAATTAGAACCAAACTCAATGATAATAGTGAAATAGATGCTATTAAACAACAACCTCTAAATGTAGTAGATAAAACTCAATTACAAAATTTAAAATCATTAATATCTAATTTAAATGATAAGGCTACAAAGCAGAAAATAGATCTTAAACAATTAATAGATAATGTTACGGCAGAATCGTCATTTTCTTTTGTTTAATTGCATTTTTGTGTCTTACAAATTACTTGTTTATATATGGCCTGATTTCTAAGGTTCTATTGTAGATAGGCCGCAGATCACAGGTCAAATTATGCACACGGCCTTGAGCTAGCTTTTCTTGCCGCCATCTTAGGAAGTTAGACTAAACTTTTTGATATTTTTATTTTCGACCATAGTTCCTCACAAGTTGTAAGTTTTCAATTTATTTATGTATATTCTAATAAGGAATTATTTAATTATGTTCTGTAGACATTTTCTGTTGGATATCATGTTTAATTATTGAGAATTTGCTCTCAAATGTACTTCAAAGGAATTTTCAATTTTACTGACAGTAGTCCAAAGGCATCCGTTTCATTACCACGTGCATTGCTTGAATTTCTGAAGTCTAAGTCCTCTGTAAGAACTATTAATTTAATATAAGGTTACAATTTCATTATGTTACCATGTGTATATTGTTGCCAGAAGTTAAGACTGTCTATTAGTGTTGACATTTTGCAAATTGGTAAATGTTAGTTCAGATTCTTTATTTTGCCACGAATGCCTGTGGATTCTTATATTTGTGAGTTGTGTCTTAAGATTGTTATTTTTATATTTTGTAGCAAAACCATTCAATCCAAGTAAGGACATTCAGTTCAAGTTAAGACATTCAACTTATGTTCAACCATTGAATGTGTATTCCTTAGGGAACTATGTAATTATGTGGATACTTGTTTATTAGTAAATGATGGTTTATGTATGCTGAAACTTCCTAATATGCTGGAATGACCCTTTGGTGGTACTATGTTCGTTGTTACGTCGATACCTTTAAAATGACCCTTTGGTGGTACTCCTTTCGTTGCTACGTCGATACTTATTGAGTTGACATGTGTTTAATAAGTACACATAATAGGCCTTAACATTAATGTCGCAGCTACGCGCAAAAGGGCACTCGCCACGTATTTGGGTCGAAGGATCGAATTACAGATTACAGTTTCATACATTTATTACACACATTACATCTAAGAAATACACCACATGAAAGTCGGATAGTCGTTGGATATGTGCTAAATACCAATACGGAGGCTTCCAATGCATTCCGCCTTTACTAATTAGATCTATACCATTAGTAAAAAAAGGTGTGGTAAGGACTAGTGCTAAAGTATCACCGACCAAAATAAATATCCCTGAAATGACAATAGATTCTGTTTAACAAATCAATATCTTCGGCGTAAAGTACATCTAAATATTATCCATAGCCCGCGACTAACATTAAATCATATACAAAACATATTAGAATGAGTGACAAACATTACCTCATCTACTTCGACAATTAGAAGTCACATTAACATACGATCTAAAGAATAAAATATAGTTACCAGTTTGTGGAATAGGACCACAGAAGTTAGCAGCGCACTCCAACTCTCTCTCATGTGATATACAACCTTGTTAGACAGTACAATCAAATGCTTTGCTTACTAACTGATATACAATTAAATACAAATTGGTTTATAATTAGACACAAGTCTTTTCTGTGAACTAAATTTCAAAACTATGATGTAAGTCGATATAATCTCAGAAAACTAAAATAACGAACGTAACATAATTACAACAATTACTCAATTATATAAACCAAAGATAGCAAAACCAGAAATAGTTTACCAATATAGATTTTATAACATATAACCGCATACTAAGCAGTAATAATATAGAACGTGTTTAAACAACCGGACCAATATGGAATCACCAATTTCCAGTTTGGCACCTCGAACCTTTTGATCATAATTTCTCTTCTGTTTCTCTTTGCCAACTCATAAGATTTCTTTAATCGTTCCTTTAAAACTTTAATATAGGCATAAACGATTCGTCAGTTTTTAACCCAAATGCAAGGTCAACTGCTCACCTTGGATGACGCCCAAACATTAATTAATACGGCAAAAATCCAGTTGTCTCATGCTTTGTGCAATTATAAGCATGAATCAACGGTGCCACTTGAGAATTCCAATTGATCTTTTTATCAACGGAAAGCGTTCCCAACATATCATGTGCGATTCATACGCTCACATTGTCCATTACCCATCGGGTGATATGGCGTCGCTCTGGATTTTGCTATTCCAGTTAAACCACACAATTCCTTAATTATACTACTTTCAAAATTTGCACCTTGATCCGAATGTATCCTAGCAGGAAGACCATAATGAACTACAAAATTATTAAAGAATGCATCTGCAGTAGTATGTGCCGTCATGTTTCTCGTTGGTACTGCTACAGCATATTTTGTAAACAGATCAGTTATGACTAAAATATACTGCTAATTACCTTTAGATGGTTCTAGTGTAAGAAAGTCCATAGCTACCACTTCCAGAGGGAATGTAGTCTGTATATTTACTAGTGGAACGCTGATATTCAATGGTGATTTTCGACGTAAGCATCTATCACAGGATTTGATCCATCTCTCTCAATAAATCTATCACGCATCAATGCTATGGTTCTGTCACGACCCATGTGTCCCATATCATCATGTAATGATGTAAATGCAACCTTTCTATAATGAGGCAAGACCAACTGCCCTATTGGACGACCATCAATGAGAACACATCTGTATAAAACACATTGTCGAAGTTTTAACCGATCTACCTGCCGTTTCAAAGCTAAAAATTCATTAGTAACAGCTTCCTTAACAGGTTTAATATCAGACCTTATATACTGTATCAAAGACAAGATAACATCATCTTTGGTTTGTTCTTTTCTCCATTCACGTGGTCCCATGCCATTCAAACCAACACAAATATCAGGAACACTATCTGCAGTTATGTGTAAGCATTCAGCATTACTTGGTAATCTTGATAACAAATCTGCAACAATATTGGTTTTACCTGGCTTAAACTTTAACTCAAAATCATAAACTGATTAGGCATCCAATTTAGCAGACGACAATACATAGATTAACGGATTGTTATCCGTATATACAACAAATTTATTCCCGTATAAATAATCATGAAACTTTTCGGTCACGGACCATTTCAAACATGAAAACTCAAGTTTATGAGCCGAATAATTCTGTTCTGCCTTATTTAAACTCCTGCTCGCGTAAGCGATTACCTTAAGCTGACCATCTTGTTTCTGATACAAGATCGCTCCAAGACCATTTTGGCAAGCATCAACATGAAGAACAAACGGCAAATTATAATCACAACTGCTCAAAATTGGAAAGGAACATAGTCGATTCTTTATTTCCTTAAATGAATTATCCTGCTCAACACCCCACTTCCACTCATGAGTAGTTCTGGATTTATTCTTACCAACAGGTGAAGGCATTAATATGGACAAGGGTTTGGCTATTTTTGAGAAATCTTTGACAAACCTGCGGTAATAGCCAGCAAAGCCTAAGAACTTCCTCACCTCCTGTGCATTGGTAGGACGAGGTCAATTACTAATCGATTCTATCTTAGAAGTATCAAGCTCAATACCTTTCATTCTCAACTCTTCTCTTGAAGAAACTACACTTATATGCAGCTAATTTTAAATTACATTCACGAAGTCTTTGTAAAACGAGTTTAAGTCGTTCCAAGTGTTCGTATGTATCTGCAAAAATAATCAAATCATCGATATACACGACACAATTTTCCATCAGCCTTTGAAAGGTAGCTGGAGAATTACATAATCCAAAAGGAAGTCTATTATATTCGTAGAAACCTAACGAACCAACAGTGAACGCTTTACGTTCCTTGTGTTCCTCTAATAACTCTCCGCGGTAATAACCAGATTTCATGTCTAACTTACTGTTGAAAGCTTTTCCTGCTAAATAATCCAATACCTCATCAATTCGAGGCAGAGCATATGAATCTTTAATTGTCCTATCATTCAATTGACGAAAATCAGTACACATACGAAGCTTACCATTTTTCCTCCTACACAAGACAACGTTAGACGTCCACGGACTATGTGAATGACGAATTACTCCACATGCCATCAACTGTTTTAAATGCTCTTTCACTTCGTTGAACATTGCTGGGGGTACTCGTCTAGAACGTTGTTTTAACGGCCGCTCATCCATGAGTTCAATCCTATGCTTAACTCGCGAAGTATGACCTAAATCCAAATCATTTCTTGCAAATATATCACTAAAACTCAATAAAAGTTCATTACCTTTATCTATTTCATCGGTTGTCAAATCACTGGGGTCAATTTCTACTTTACCAAGGACATCAAACTCTTCTACCTTATCAACAATTTGCTGATCTTCAACGTTAACAAGTTGACCGGTGACGCTTCCCGTGACCCAAGGCTTTGATCGTTTTCCGACCAATTGCTATGCTGTGTTGGTGACCTACAATTCATCTGTAAATGCCCAGGTTTACCACATCTCCAACACACTGGTCCTGTGTGATAACTATTACGAAAATTCGTAGACGTTCCAAACCTTCTATTTCCTTCCCTTCGAGATGTGCTATCGGAAGATGATTGGACAGGTTGAACAAACTGAGATACAGTCTCCTTCAATTCACCCATTTGAGTAGACAACATCTTCACTATGCTCTTAAGTTCCTTTAACTCTGAGTCATATGAACGACCAGAGTATTTAAATCGAACTCTTAGCTCATCGAAAGTTGTAGGTTGATCGTATTTATGCGAAGATACATCCTTAAAATGAGGTAATAATCCATGCCAAAATACTCTACGGATTGCATTGCCAGCTTCATAGGAATTCGAATGCTCACTTTCAGTTGGCGAACAAATCTTCGACTCTACATGCCCAAGAAGTGACAGATTCAGCCTCTTTCTGTCGAGCACTATAGAAATTAGCAATCAATGATTCTGATTCTTCACAAATACCGAACACGCTTTTTAGTTTAGCTAATATTCCTTTAATGGTCACCTTCATATTTCCACAGATCATAACTTACCTCTCCTTTTCCAGACTCATCGTAAAATATCGATAGTTTTGGAATCTGATTTCTAGGTCTTCCGTTTCAGTTTCTTCCGACTTATTTGGCCACTTACCTTGAGCTTTTAATGTCTCGCTCATCCAAGACGTTACACCATCTGCAGTATGCACATCTTTTGAAAATATACCCATTTGAACCAAAGTGTCGCAAACACCAACAATATCATCTTCCATAATCTTATCCATAATTTCAGTCATCGTCGTTGCTCCTACACTCTCAGTCAGTCACCTTAATCTTCTATACCATAGCATCTCAATTAAATTATTGATACCGGAACCAAGAAAAATATATCATCTTCCTCGAACACAACACAAAAAAACGAACAGGCGTACACACCACATTTGTATCAAACCATCCTCCTCCCTGGGGGCTCCATTGTCGCAGCTAAGATGGAATCTGGGACTCGCCACGTATTTGGGTCGAAGGATGGAATTACAGATTACAGTTTCATACATTTATTACACACATTACATCTAAGAAATACACCACATGAAAGTCGGATAGTCGCGGATATGTGGATATGTGCTAAATACCAATACGGAGACTTCCAATGGATTCCGCCATTACTAATTAGATCTATATTATCATACCATTAGTAAAAAAAGGACTAGTGCTAAAGTATCACCGACCAAAATAAATATCCCTGAAATGACAATAGATTCTGTTTAACAAATCAATATCTTCGGCGTAAAGTACATCTAAATATTATCCATAAATATTATCCATAAATATTATCCATAGCCCGCGACTAACATTAAACCATATACAAAACATATTAGAATGAGTGACAAACATTACCTCATCTACTTCGACAATTAGAAGTCACATTGACATACGATCTAAAGAATAAAATATAGTTACCAGTTTGTGGAATAGAACCACATAAGTTAGCAGCGCACTCCAACTATCTCACATGTGGGTACTGGGCCACTGTAGCCAATTCAAGCTTTATACCAGCAGGTATCCAGATCCAACCAATAGAACAATGCACGAGCTTATTAAAAACCAACCACCGAACAAATAATTACACCATGTGATATACAATCTTGTTAGACAGTACAATCAAATGCATTGCTTACTAACTGATATACAATTAAACACAAATTGGTTTATAATAAGACACAAGTCTTTTCTGTGCACATCAACTAGATTTCAAAACTCTGATGTAAGTCGACATAATCTCAGAAAACTAAAATAACGAACGTAACATAATTACAACAATTACTAAATTATATAAACCAAATATAGCAAAACCAGAAATAGTTTACCAATATAGATTTTATAACATATAACCGCATTCTAAGCAGTAATAATACAGAACGTGTTTAAACAATCTGTACTCAATATTACATGGTACAAAACACATACTATTACATTAACTATGCTGATACGTCGATGATGTGTTTGGTGCGTCACTTGGTCTACGACCGTCCCCACAGATAATATTACACCAGGTATAAGTGAAGAAAAATTAACTGAATTAGAAACCACACTCAATGATAATAGTGAAATAGATGCAACAACTTCTAAATGTAGTAGATAAAACTCAATTACAAACTTTAGCTTCATTAATATCTAAATGATAAGATTAAAAAACAAAAAATAGATCTTAAACAACTAATAGATAATATTAATCCAGGTATAAGTGAAGACAAATGGCAACAGGAATCAACTGCGCTAGAAACTAAATTTAAAACAGAATTACAAAAAGAACTAACCAATATTAATCAACTGATACAAAATATTTATGATAGCGAGATTCAAAAACAGATAACTACTATTAATAACGAAGTTTTAAAACATGAAAAAAATATGGTCACATTAGAAAAACATCTCAAGGAAAATAAAAAATCATATTATTTCAATCTTCCAGTTTTCCGTGTGAGAAATACTGAGCGTATTCCTACAGGTAAAACAACATATCAGTTGGAAGGATATGGATTTATATTAAAAATAAAAGTATTTTCATATATAAGTGGAAACGTTAAAAATATATTTGATGATTCAGAAAACTGTAATTTCCGAGGTAAATCTCTAATTGAAATTCTTTTTCCTGTAAAAGTTAAAATCGATTCAATCTTCTTCTCTCATCCATCTAACTATTTGAAGGCTCGTACGATTTTCGAATTTATCAAAGATGGTGAATATGTTGAGAATAAAGATTTGGAAGTTAATGATGAAAACAACAAGCCTAATCATATGTATGAAATTAAAACAAATGAAAAATATATAGAAACCTTTAGAATGTTAATAATACCAGACAATGACAACGATATTCTTTCAATAGGTGATTTTGATATGATATTAAAGACGGAAAGCTCACCACCGATGAACATTATTAGAAATTCAACTCCACAAAAACCACACACAATAAAGAGTTATACGTTTTTAAGAACATCAGACTTTGAATATGTAAAACTATATTTTGTTAATACTAGTTTTTCACTCAATGTATGAAAATATTATCCTGATTTATTTACCTCAATTGATATTCACAAAAGTCAACAAGATAAAGAATTTATAATATTTTCATCAATAATTGAACATCATGAAAGAGATAGTAATATAGAAGTTGGTGGTATATATACTTGTAGATGTAGTAAAAAAAAATTTACACTTCATCTACATAAGATTTTTGATTCGAAAGAAGAAATATCATTAGTATCTGTAAAAGTTACTATTTATTGAACAATATCTAACTTTTAAGTGATCAGAAATTCCTTGTAATAAAGGAAACACGAAGTGATACTGAAAGTATTTCACAAAGTGAAACACAAAGTGATACAGAAAGTATTTCACAAAGCGAAACACGAAGTGATAATTCAAGAAGTGATAACATAATTGATTTATTCAAAGAATACAGCGCAAGCACAAAAAACAAAACAGAAGTTAATTCAAAACTTAAAAAAAATAAACTGTAATAAACTAATTTCATTTGATGCTAACGGTTTGTACGCTTCAGCAATGTCAGATTTAGACAGTGAATATCCAAAAGCAGAAAGTGCTAGACCGTTTCTACCAGGAGAAAATAAAAAATTTGTAAAACTCTTCAATAAACAAAATTTTAGACCTAGAACAGCTATTTTATCAGTGTGGTTTGAACATGTTCTTCCAACCAATACCAGCTAAAGATGGTATCACTTTCACGAATAAAGAAGGTAAACAGGAAACTGGCACTAAAATCAGGTTTAGAAATGGAAACTCCACCATATAGAAATTATATTTTAATTTTGAGAGATCTAAGAATAAAAATAAACGAGAAGGTAATATGGTTGGTAGTAATTGCATGAAATTATTAGGTAATTCCTTGTATGGTAAATCTATTCAGAGGGATAGAAACACGAGTTATCATGATTTTTTGCCCATTTTTTATTCTTTATTTTTATTCCAAAAATCACTCCTTCTCCCTTATACTTTCAAAGAATGATTCCCTCTCCAGAACGTATGTTTTTAAAAAATATAGCATTACCCATATGTTTGACCTTTATTTCTCCGGTGTCGATTTTATCTATTAGATTACTTAATCCCCCTTTAACAGTTTTCTTGGTTTCTTCACTAAATCGATTTCCAAATTCTTTAACTCCTGAACCTTGTGCCATCTCTTCCATTTCCATATTATGTCTACGTTTTTCGCTTTTTCAGCATCAGCTGCTTTCTTGGCTTGTGTTATCCCAGCCGCCCCACCAGCTGTGGCCTCTGCCGCAGTAGTACTAGAGCTTTCAATTAGGTCGCATAAAAGGGGATTCCCCATTCCATTTCATTTCATGGGGAAAATGCGCCCCTAATTGAAAGCTCCCATAACATAAAGACCTAAATTCCCTACATTTCATAAATTCTTACACTAAAAAAGACCTAAACATCCTACATTTCATAAATTCTTACAGCAAAAGACCTAAATTCTTACACCTATATTCCCTACATTTCATAAATTCTTACACCCCCTACATTTCATACACCAAAAAACACCTTCAATCAATTTCCTACATTCCATCAAAAAAAGCATATTCAAAATACCCTTATATAAAATAACATAACATTTTTAGTAGATGGGAGATAACTCTTTTTGGATAAAAAACAGACTAAATTAACTCATTTAAAAATAGGATGAGTTTAATTCTAAAACACGAACAACACATATTCGAAGATTATTCGGGCGACGGTATCTTTTCTTCATTATTTTCTCTAGGTAAAACAATAATTTCAAAAAACAAATCACTCATTTCAAGCGGAGCGAAAGCCATCGGCTCAATCGCTGAAGCGGGAAAGAGTATAAGCGATACAGTGAAACAATCTAACGACTTGAAAGAATTAGAACTAATAAGAGAACTTCGAAACAGGAGATTAGAAGAAAGGAAAGGAAAAGGATTTAAAGTTATAGGATAAAAATGATTGTCGCTCACCCTCCAAAAACTTATTTCGGTTCAGGAGATATACAAAAATCATTGGGTTCTCTTCCTGGATTTCAATGGGCGAAATATCCCGGAGAAAAACATCTTCCAGGTCATAATTATACCGGTCCAGGCACTAGGTTAGATCTGCGATTAGACGAAAACAATAAACCCACAGCGCTGCTGCGCTTAAACACGACATACTATACAGAAATAAAGACATAAACTTCAGACATGAAGCAGACAAACAAATGATAATCGAACTTGAAAATATTCCAAATCCAACAAAGAGAGAATGGAAAGAGCATTAATCATTAAACTGTTACAAGCAAAGATGAAATTAGGCATGGGATTGGCGGATGAAATTCATAAAGAATTTAGAAAAACTAAAAACTTTTTAAAAGTAAAAGTGTTTGAAAAAGATGAAATATGGTCAGCCGATTTAATTAATATGCCAGACGAAAGGGGATTTAAATATTGCTTAACAGTTATGTATGGGTTATTCCTTTGAAAAACAAAACGGGATTATCAGTCAAACACTCATTTGAAACGATTATGAAACAATCTAACCGTCATCCAGAAAAACTGTGGGTAGATAAAGGAAGTGAATTTTATAACAAAAATATGAAATCTCTGGGATTTGAAATTTACAGCACGCATAATGAAGGTAAAGCTGTAGTTGAAAGATTTAACAGGACTCTTAAAAAATAAATTATTCAAAAAGTTCACGGAATTGAAATCCCAAAAATAGCTTAAAATATTACCAGAGGTTGTCGACGAATACAGTAACAAAATTCATTCATCTATAGGTGTCACACCAACACAAGCCTCGTGTAATCCAAATATTACAAAGTCAATTAACGCGCAACATAACTACGAAAATGAAATAAAGAATTTAAATATCAAACCCAAATTTAAAGTTGGAGATCGAGTTCGTATTTTCAAATATAAAAGTAAATTCGAAAAAGGTTACGTTGGATACTGGACGAACGAAATATTCATCGTTGATAAAGTAAACACCACATCACCTCCGACATATGAATTAATCGATCAAGACAAAGAACAAATCATAGGTAGGTTTTATCAAAATGAACTTCAAAAAACCGACTTTTAAAAATGAATGATGAAGAATTTGATAGAAGATAAGAGATGTAGACAAGCATTTACTGTTTCT